AACAATAAAAAAGAATGTTGCGATGCTTTTTGATTTGAGAACGCATATTTAGCTAAAGCAAAATACGAAATATAAACTCATGCGGTAATTATGATTTAATTTACAAATACCCGGGTCCAAATATCATGAGTGTTGATTGCAATTATGTTCGATGATCGTCAACATGAAAGAAATATATGTCTGAATAATTAGCTATAAAACATCTTTATCAAAACTTCCCTACACTTTTAAATGCTCATCTTGTCAAAGAGTACCATCCACCTGAGATTTAGATGTAGATCGAAAATCAAATTGTTTTCAAAAGTATTTATATATTGGTTTACATGAGGGGTTCTGTCCATGTGGGTGGTGTATTCTTTGCGTAACAAAGAGTTGTTTTGCTTCCAGGGTCCTAAATTCTTCAATATAAATAGTAATTAATAAGATTAATAAGATCAAAAAGACTCGAGGCACTGCCGTCGCCCCATCATGATCAATACAGGTGACAATAAGCGACAGTTGTTACAGTTACAAGTTATTGATTCAGGTTCATATTTGTTATAAATATAGACTTGATTACGTTTCAGACCCGTAGCCAGGATTTGCCAAGAGGTGGGTTACTTTTTAAAAAATTCCAGGGGGAGTTCACTTTTGGCAATGTTAGTTCAAAAATGGCCAAAATAATTTAAAAAGTGCTCAGAATGGTGTAAAATAATGCATTTTTGGTGACGGAGGAGGTCGCTAGAACCAATCTACTCCCCCCCCCTGTATACGGGCCTGCATGTGCTATCTACATATTTGACTATTTGATCAGTCCCGTAGCCAGTATTTGCCAAGGGGATCACTTAAAACGTGCTCAGAATGGTGAAACCTGCATGATTTTGAAAGACTTTTTGGCCGGGGGGGGGGGGTCGAACCCGTCGACCCCCTGGCTACGGGCCTGTTGATTGACACGGTTGAAAGTGGAGTTTGTTAATTATTCAAACTGTTCTAAAAGAGGAATATGCGTCCAATTAAAATCATATCGTGATCCTGTAAAAATGTCAGATTTAGCAAAATAAATAGGCGATCTCCATCTGCACACGTCTACACTTACGCGCACACACATACTTTAAGATTAAATTTATTTTGATAATGATTTAAAAAACATCAATTATTATCAACATGAAATTAAAACGATTGTCAGTATATTCCAAAAGTATAATTAAGCGCGACTATAGCGCATAACAACAGGTAGCCGGTATAATTATACTGTTTGTTTTGATAAGGCAGTGCAAAGAGATATCAAAACTCTTGACACGCTCTGTACACGCGAGGTCTTTGCACCTCTTGACACATCTGGAATCTCTAGATACGCGGAGTTTCTAGACTATCTTTGCACGTCTAGAAATAGGATAGTTTCTAAATAGCAGAAAAATCAATGAAATCTCGTGCTGCCATCTTTTATTCAGCTTTTAACTCTGGCTAGAGCTCCATTCGCTTACATGCTAAAATCTTGGAAAAGTGGCTTAATTTCATGATTTATCAAAGTGTGTTTGTTGAATCTGTATAAAACTTGAATGATATACCACATGATGACCCTGTTCATGAACATGTTGTGATTAAACATGCTAATGTTGATTGACATACAAATAATCCACGGTTTTAAAGAATTTTAGCATTGCATCTATGGACATTTGGCCCAACTTTTTTTAAATTGTCATAGAAAATTATTAAAATTACATAACTGTGTAAATCAAAGCTATTTTAGGAGAAAACATTCCACTGAATTCAAATATACCATTTAAAAGAAGGTAATGTAAGTCATTAGAGGTCTAATATGCAAGTCTCTTAAAATCTCACGAAAAACGAGATTTAGCGAGATTTCAAAAGCTATATGGAAATTATACTATTGCTTGGAACTTCACATTTGACGCAGTGCTATGCGTTGCAAATTACATGCTCGTGCATTTTGAACAAAAGCAGTTCATCCAAGTGCACTTCAACCACTAATTACGCTGTGGCAACGTAGTCGGCAGCTCACGCGTGTCAACCGCATCGGCTTGTTGCTAGTGCACCACAGGAGTTCGATTGTAATAAGCCGTGATGTCTTTCAAAATACTTATGCGAGTGTTAGTGCGCCTGAATAAGCTTTTTTTTTGTTGAAAGCACATGAACATGTAATGAGTACTGTAGGGTTTAAACTTATTGTTCTTTTTAGTGATACCTGGGGAGAAACTTCATTAAAATATTACGCATTTCACTGGCAACGCGGGCATACAATAATACCATGTTAGTAGCACTAAAGATCAGTGGTAGGAATTAAAGGCACTCTCCTGCAAAATGGTTGAATGTATTAACGATTCCTAACTCACCCTTGGTATACGCAGCTAACGAAAATTGACCGGTACGGGTCAAAAGCTGGACCGGTATGGGTTAACGGTTTTATTTGAATTTAAAATAGCCATAACTTGCTCAATATTGACTTCCTCGTGTCTAATTTGAAATATATGATGCCTCCCGATGCTTTTAAGTACCCCAATTTTTTACAGATTTTTAAACGGACCAAAACTCTCTAAATGCGCATTTATGCTCTTTTCTCTCGAGAACGACTGTCTCATTTTCACGATAACTTTTATTTAGTACTTCTAACATATAAGATCTATTTTTCCCCATCAAGGTATGATGTGAATGACATACTATTTACATCTTGTGAGTTTCAATGACGCGCGTTTGATTTTATAAAAAATGCCAAACTTTGTGACAAAGAATTTCATCAGTTATTGCCCCGAACCGGTCCGTCTTCTCACTACAAGCAGGATGAAATTCTTTGTCACAAAGTTTGGCATTTTTTATAAAATCAAACGCGCGTCATTGAAACTCACAAGATGTAAATAGCATGTCATTTACATCATACCTTGATGGGGAAAAATAGATCTTGTATGTAAGAAGTACCAAATAAAAGTTATCGTGAAAATGAGACAGTCGTTCTCGAGAGAAAAGAGCATAAATGCGCATTTAGAGAGTTTTGGTCCGTTTAAAAATCTGTAAAAAATTGGGGTACTTAAAAGCATCGGGAGGCATCATATATTTCAAATTAGACACGAGGAAGTCAATATTGAGCAAGTTATGGCTGTTTTAAATTCAAATAAAACCGTTAACCCGTACCGGTCCAGCTTTTGACCGGTACCGGTCAATTTTCGTTAGCTGCGTATACCAAGGGTGTAACTGCAATGATAGAACTGGCTAACTATGATAGGACTGGCGAACTAGATAAACTGTTCTTTCTGACATCGATTTTTAACCATATACACTTAAGAACTATTTTCAACTGCATACTTTCCTAGTATTTAATTAGAATGGTCACAAAAACAACAACGTTTCCAAAATATGTCTTTGTGTCAATCATGTTAAGTTATTTGCGAAGATATTCAAATCACGTCATTCATTTCAAGTGAAAAAGTAAGACTCTTATTTCGATATGATCTTAATATGATCCCTACACTTCAGTTTCCAAAATGCACGGAAGAATTCAGAGAAATTAATTTTATTTGAAACGGAAACGGGCACGGCTTGAATGGCTTATAGGAAGTGCAGTGCAGGGATGTTTAACAACATCGTGGGTACAATGTACACATCCTTCTTTTTGTACATTTTCACATACATATATAATTTCTTTGACTCCTCCTATGTACCTTCGAATCGAAGTGTCTGGATAATGTGTATTGGTGATTTTATTAACATTAATAATTTATTAACTTTTTCACGATGATATAAGTTAAAATGTTAAAAATAAAATGAATTTTATAAAAAGGGAGTGCTGTTAGTGTTAAGATTTCAGAAGTTCTAGGTCGTGCTCAGTTGAAATGATGTGACGTAATGTGACGCCAATCATAACACGATAGTTCACGTAACTGCATCCCATTATATAACCAATCACAGCATCCAAAGTCTCTTTTCTTTTTTGTTTTAGATTTTAGTGAACTAATGAAACCGATAAACTGATCCATTTCATAGTTGAGTAATAGTTCCACATTGCACTGAGTCCAGGGCTTAAATCCTTTGAATAAGCTGCAAGGTGTTTAGTGGGATTATTTGAGTTACCATTTTGTAATATTTCACATATAAGTCCCTGGGAACATTTCCTCTGCCATGTAGTAATGGCATGATTCAGTCGTTGCAAAATCATACCAATCGTTTTAAAAATAACCGATTCTAACACTTGTTATGCCATTTAAATGTAATAAATATAGGTTATTCACTGGGAGGGATTGAATATGGGTTTTATTCCGAGGGACAATATGATATTGACCGAAGGGTAATATGATATTGACCGAGGGAGCGCAGCGACCGAGTGTCAATATCATATAGCCCAAGGTCAATATCATATTTTCCGAGGAATGAAACCCATATTCAATCCCGACCAGAAATAACCTATTTATTCCATAATACACCCCTCTAAAATGCTACATTTGGATAATGCAAATAACCGGGAAAAAATAATCGGGAAACCGGAAATAGGTTAAAATGCTCCAATACGATTTTTATCCCGGGGACAATACGATTTTTTCATGTAATACGCTCCAATACGATTTTTTGCCCGGGGACAATACGATTTTTTCATGTAATACGATTCAATACGATTTTTATTCCTTCATATTTCCCTGGGAAAACAGTAGTATTATGGAATAATTAATCATAACTGGTAATAACGGTATCATCCTTTTTAGATACATATTTGAAATACACACAGAGTAACATGCATATCTAATATATCATTCGGTAGTTGACAATGACAAATCCCACACTTTTTGTATACAATTCATAAATATAACTGTTACAACAAATAGCATTATTCATATTTATCAATTTTGCAATGTATTAATCTTTATAAAGGATAAAAATGAATCGTAAGGAATAGTTTGACATAGTACACTTACATCCTATGAGTTTGCATCTTGATGGGTAAAGTACTTCAAGCGGAGGAATCAACCAAGCGTGTTTTCGTTCTTGAATGAATACGATTGTCTACAGAAGGAAATATGTGTAAACGATTTACTTTTGTTGCGATAATTCTGAGCATTGCATGTACCACAGCACGTCGAAGAAAGTCTATCGAAACGGGGCCGGGTCCAGAGTGGAAGATACGAACGACAACGCCAACCCAGCGCCAGAAACCAGACCATGTTGGTGGTTCAAAGGATGAGGGCGTCTCATCTAGAGATGAGACAACGACAAAAGCGCCGAGAAAACGGGATAGAAAGTCGCGACCCAACCAAAGTGCCCCCGAATGGATTCCGTCTCACACCCCAACTAAATATTATGCAGGTACGTGTATTATAAAAAGATTGAGGTAGACTTCTACGAAATCACTATTTTGGGGTCTCTAGACAACTCATGCCAAGTAAAGGACTTAAACCATACCAGACTTGTTTTTAAAATATGAAGAAACAGTATCCTTTTCATAAGGCAAATAGGACCATAAAAGAACCTAACTTACTATTGTCCTGCATTTTGAGCGTCGAATAATTATAGGAGCCGTCCACTTCTTCGGAGTCAAACGTGAATGTTGCTCGCTTATAAAATTCAGCATCAACACTAGATTTATATCCAAAGAACATGTGTACGTTTCTATAGATTTTTTTATATAAAAAATAACACATTTACAAAACTTTTGGGCATGGGGAGATGGCTATTTATTGATCAGAACTGAAATAGTGTTACGCATGCAATGAAAGCGCAAAATCATGATTATGCAACTTTATATTATCATTAATCGTTGGGATAAGAGCCAAGAGCTCTGTGGGGAGATAAATAGTCGCCTCTGAAGTCCAGGCCACCCGATACCCCTATTAAGATGGCGAAGGGGTGGGGGCGGGTAAGCTTTCGACTTCTTCGAGATACGAAAGTTCAGACTATGTTAACCAAACTACTACAGGACAAGTGGTATAGCATTAAGATAAGTTATTGTCCTGGCCAAATTGAATCTGTCAACACACTTTTAATTGAGCTGCTAGGACAGACGCCGTTCTCTGTGATATAAACTAGATTTAACCAAACTTGATAAATCAGAAAAATAAATGTCCATACCGATTTTCAAGGCTTAATTTAACAAAGTGCATAACATGAAATATAAATCAATCTATTTGTAGAAATCTCTTCAATTCATTCAAGCGTGCCCAACAAAATGACACATTCATAACCTGTCCATAAGATTACTTTTTCATGATTAATAGAACTCATGCAAAACAACATGCAAGTGAATGGTTGCCTAGCTATAAGCTTTTGTGAGACCCTCCCCCTGTGTTGGGTTTGTGAAGTAGATAGGGCATGGGGGGGGGCACAGTCTTGAAGCTAAATGAATAAAGTCAATTTAATAATGTGTCTTGGAGATTAGTAGAGTTATTCAACGGCTTAACACATATATTGTACTTGTTTCGCACTTTAAAACTGGATGTAATCGCCTGCCGTTGTTTTACACGGAAAGCACATAAATGTGGTTGCCTCATCTACTACTGCATTTGCTTTGCATTATATTACTGTGCACGCGAATATAATAGACATACACTTTTACTTCTTCCTTGTATAGGATATGCCTGGAGAGAATCTTATGATTCTTGCCTACCCGACAATGATGCTATCACGGAAACATTCACAATACCCGTCAGTGGCAGGGCTGATGCTCCTGAAAGATGCCTTCAGTTGTGCTTGAAGTCGTCAACGCTAGAATGTTGGTCAGTAGATTACCAAATAGATGTCAGTCAAGATGATAATACACTGTTAATAGTGACGTGTATTCTCTCTGAAGTGTCACGTGTTCGGGATCCAACTTCAACAAACGTGGATGTGACCTGTTGTAAAGACTGGATGCATTTTGAAAAAGTGCCAGGTAAGCGTTACTGTACATTCGATGTTGATAATTCACTGGGGGCGGTTTGGATTTATACTATTGCCTTGTGTTTAAAGTTGTTTTACATTATGCGACATTTAACCTTATGTGTAGCCTTACAAACTAACATATTCATAGACTTTGTCTTTAACCTTGTTTTCTTTAACGGTCGGAGCTTGAGAAAGGGTAAAACAGAATGTTTAAAGGCCCATCATGCTAAATTTAGAAGGAAAACGGATAAAATGATCATTGAAACATGTTATTAACACACTCAATCAAATACAGAGCTTGATTTGCATTGATATTGAACCGAGAAAAAATAACTCATGTACACAGACAAACAGCATTTGAAGTTTAGAGATCGTTAGTAATGCATGCCCATTCGCCCATGACGAAGTGCATGTTTTTAAATAACTCTTGATTTAAAAGATGGCGACACTTCAATAAAACTGAATAAATGTACTACAAATAACTTAGCCATCGTTCATTGACATTGGTAAAAATTTGATAAATAAAAAATATGACGGATCAAAAATATTTTTAATAATCTATTGTAAGCTTTGATGTTGCCCGTTTGAGCTGTGTCCTATTCATGTCAAATGGAAGATAAAGTACTCGTCAATCCATTGGACATTAACTATGAACTTAAAAAATATCTTGATTTTGAAAAAAATGTTGAAAATACGCAAAGTGAGGCTTTAAGCAAAATAACTGATACCAGATAACACAACATTTCAAAGTTGGATAATCGTTATTGACATTCGTAAAAGTTTATCTTATAAATTGTTTGTAAAAGGGTTCATTCGCTAATTAAATTTTAATGCATACACTAATATATTTAATCACATTCCTGATTTTTAACAAGGCCTTGCAGTTAATTGCGTTACAAATAATTCATAACATCCCTATATTTTTGAGTCGGTCTGGCGCCAAATTTGATAAATGATCAAACAAATTAGCCTATATTACCAAAGGTTGGATATGGAAGGATAAACCTGGTGTTACAATCCAAGATGGAATGCTGGACAAGAAATCCATGTACGCGGAAACGTTTGAAACGTGTAAAGAAGCGTGTGCAGCTGAAACTGACTTCATCTGTATGTCTGTCGAATGGAAGAGTGCACTGGGGGAGGCAGCTAATTCGAATACAACCCAAAATGCGTCAAATGAGTTAGCAACTCCTTTTCAGAGGAACTGCCATCTTCAAGCTAGGTGGAGCAGTTATCCAAAACAAATGCTTTCGATTGACAACGGGAATTCTTACGCGGAAAAGGCAGTAGGTAAGACAAGGTGATTTTTTCTTTCTCCAATACCCTCTAAAGCAGGATTGTGGAGGCTGAAACCCTACGATTTAAGGATGTTTTCCAACTGATATATATCCAATACAAAATAAATATATTATATCAAATGCATGCACACATCATGATAAGTGTAACAATATAAAAAAATCAAGAATTTAAGCATATGATATAGGTTCACGTATAACGTGCAGACAGGAGCAATGTACTCTTGCATCTTTCAAGCTTAGATGATTTCTTTCGCACCTCTGTTTTGCTATACACTTCAGAGTCATCGACGGGTTGGGCTTGGACTTCAGTACAAGACGCTTGTATCAGTGGGCATGATAATAAAATTATTGGCGGAGTTCCAAATTTCGAAGACTGCAGAGCCCGTTGTCGGTAAGGATGCGCTAATCTTTGATTCCATAAGTTTCAACCCCAATCGAACAATCGCTCTTCTATACAGCTATGTCAAATAAAAAAAAGCTGTTGCTATCCTGCCTTTTTCAAACGAAGAAATGCACTCATCAGCGAATTGTTTGGTGTTACAAAGGACATTAAATGCTTCATTGCGCATTGCTTTTGTATATTTATTAAAGTATAATAATAAATAATTTCTTTGCCTTTATTTTGGATTATTTCATTATAATAAAGTGAATATATTTATTCCTTAGTAACGAGTTGGATTTTGTTTGCCGATCTGTGGAATACAAAGATGGGACATGTCGCCTGTCGCTGGCAGATTCCTCAGATACGTTCCATTACCAGCAGCCATGTGGAACCGCTGGCACGGAGTACAGTCAGAAGAACCTCTAAATGAGATCAATACTACATATTCCTAAAACAATATGAGACTTGTTTGTAAATATTTTTGTTAAATAAATACACTTCTACTTTATTGTGCTTATCAAATTTTGAGTTAACTAATATAAAAAGCATGCGCGTCTGAAGGGTCGCAAAAATGTAAAAGGCGATTCCCTTTTTTCAATCCTCATGAACAAACATTTTTTAAAACTTTAATTCAATAATTTATTGTTTGATCAGATATCTCAATCATTTTCAGAAAATAAAATTAGAAATTGAAAAATAATACACACCAAAACCGTAACTGTTTTAGACATTCAAACCTTGGATTTCTATCAACATTTGTTCGAACAATTGAGAGTGGCATGGTATTAATGTTTTGAAACAAGGTAAGTTAATGGTAATGACTTATAATATCCAACACAACTTCACCTGACAAATTAATAATATGACATAGAATCTTATTTTTAATATGCCAGATGTTTATTTTTATTAAGAAAATTTATAGGGGTCAATCATTTTGCGCTACAGTCTAAATAAAACCAATATTGTAAACTACTACATTACCAAATCACTCAGATTATAGGAACGTTGTTTTTTATATTTATTGAAGGCATACGATGGTTGACACAGATTTGAAACGCTTAAACAATGTATTTTGTTGCAAGTTTTGAAAGCTTAAACAATGTTTATTCGGTCATTTAATAAAGCGGCTCTTGTAATAGTTACTTTTTCTTTTTTAACAGAGATGACTCACTCTTCAGCAGCAGGTGATGTTTTAAAAATTATTAATGTTTGGTAAATTTCAGCTTAATTTCTTTGACCTTGATCATACTCATTTTGTAACCTTATATTATGAAGCAGATGGTATTTTTCATGACCAAATATGCTTTTAATTCACGGACCTATATATCTTTTGAACGCAAGCCAAAAATGGCCGAAGATCAAACATGAACGTTAACGCTTCAAGGAATTTGATTGGTTCCTTAAATCATCTTCGGTCATCTTCGTAATATTAACATATTTTGTGGCGGGGCATTTTTGCTCTTCCAATGAAATTGATGTATATCATGCAATAGTTTCTATTGGTTATCGCATGGGTATATAAAACATTCAAACATTTCACGGACATAGGTTTGAGCAGGACAGGAGAAGGGAAAACGTCTATAGTCAGCGATTCGAGAACAAGGTACGTGTACTTTTTGAAAACTTGTTATTTGAGGTATCCGTGGTTTGCAATGTGATTTTAGTCGATGGCTGTATCATTCAAAAAATGTAAAGAATGTGAATTTTAGACTAGTAAACGCTTCCGTATTTTGCTATGATAGAACAATTAAAATAAATCTCTCTATATTAGTGATCGACTTCTTAATACCTAATGATTTACGCCTATGATATTTGATTTATTAAGAAATGCAATATTAAAGATTGTCATATTCTATTCTCTCATCACTACCCGTCATTCAACATAACATCAACTTTCAGTTTCAAGGAATGAGAGCACTTGGCACCCGTGTTTATTAGTAGCGTTATCCCGCAAGACGGGGTTGACAAGACACAAATGTTTGTTCGATTATCGAGTACTCATCAGTGGCGTAGGAACAATGTACGCCAAAACGCCAGTGCGTAGTGTTGAAAAGTGAGAATAAAAAGGCTTATAATTTACCTATGTTCTTTATTCATATTTTCTTATATTGTATTGTGCAAAAGTAATCTCGAGCACACTACCCTAAAGAAATGTTTGTGGATACCATATGATATGCTCGATTTTTTAATAGTACTCTTTTGCATGTTTTCTGTGCCTCTGTTATTTTTCTAACCTTGGCCACAGATAAATGACACTTTTTGAAAAATAAAATATTGAAAGTTAATACCTTGTTTCTACAATTCTAATACTGTAGAAAATGCAAAGTAATCATTATTGCTCTGTTTGGCAAATAATCAATTAACAGATTGAATTCTCTTACCAACATGCTTTATTTCATGAAAATCGAGTCACTATTGACTGACTATCTTATGGATTTTAAAACTAAAATAAAATTTCGCCAAATATTCGTGATTCTCGTTCTCTTCACGAGAGAAAAACAGTTTTTTTTATCAAAAACTACTTGATGAATACCTTTGCAATTGTTTGCGCATGTTCCGTAATGCTTATGCAAACTGTGGCATCGTTTAATTATAATGATGAACCTCTTTAAATTAGATTTATTTTTTTTATTCTCCCCTACCCCCAATTTTTCAATTTCACTATATCGATTTATATTCCTTTGCTAGGCAAAATCATAGACAGAAATTATAGTTAAGTCAGCAATTATCTATTTTCTTACTAAATCACCGATTGTTATTGGTAGTACTTCTTGAAATATGATTGTTAAAGACAAAAAATAACTTGAAAATGTTGATTATTCAATTACGCGTTCCATTGATTTCAGTTCCAGAAAAGCTATTACCTAGATTTTTATTTCATTTGAAAGATAATAGATTATTGTTTTTATGCAATATAACATTTTTGGCACCCCCTAAGTCACGCTGACCTCGATTTGACCTTTGTGGTGGGAGGTTTATTTGGTCTTGCGAACTAGTGTTATAAAAAAGGTTGCAGACATTAGGATTAATTGTATCATTGATCACGAATGCGTTTCTTTAAATCAATTGATCAAGCTAGATTCTTTAATCTGTACGTGTCGTATTGCACGGTACTATACACGATGGAATCAGACAATAATATATATCTCAATTCAATTATTCGAAAATGATTAAAAATCTCTCATTGTTATTTGGAAATCGATCGTCTTTATCGTTCGAGACATAAGAAAAGTGAGGATGATTTGTGTCGAGATTTAAAAGATCGGCTTTCCATGGTGATTTTAAGGATGTTCCCTGGACGAAGTTGAAAACGATGAACACCAACCCCTAATTTTTCTTTTCAAAATGTGAAGTACATAGCATAACTAAGTGTTTCTGTGAGTTTAAGAAAAAGTTAAATATTCAAAAGTGTGTTTTGGGGTGAAAACCTGATTTTTAACATGGGTTTCAATGAGAAAGTGCCACGCCCACTTTTGTCAAATATTGACACTTTAGAGGCCTCTTGCTCAGAAAAAAGCACACTAACATATGGTTTTTAAAGTTTTAATATTCTTTGTTGCCCGTGAGAATCCCAGAAAACCATTTTTGAGAAAAAGTTAAATACTATTGAATATTTTCCTATCTGACCAGGGAACATCCTTAAATGAAAAAAATCATTCGAACATTTTAAGCACATTAAAAAGGGTATCAGGGATATTAAGCTTGCATATAAAATCGAAACGCCAACCTATACGTATTACCAATCGCCCATACAAATACATCGCTTAACTATTTCCGTTCACATTTAGGTTGTGAAAACATTGCAAGCTTAAAATCTCTATTGCCATAAAATGACAATAAAATAGGCATTTTGATAAAGAAGATTTGACACAATTGTTTCATATTTTTGGCGGGATTTTTTGGCGTAGTGTTGAATTTACACCTTCCTACGCCCCTGCTCATTGTGCGTAAAATGTATGTATACAGATCAAATTAACGTTAATAATCAAGCCTATATAAAGTATAATGATATCTCAGTGAATCCTAGAACTATTAATACGTTTAAAGTGAATCTGATTGGCACCATTAAAACCTCTACTCTTATTATGAGAGACCGAGGACTCCTTAAAAGCTTTAAAAAGAAACCATCTTCATCTAAACTGAGGTTTCTTTGGAGATGAAAAGGTATGTCAATCAAAACCACTATCTACATGTATATTATTACTGAACAATACTCTTACAAGAGTTGATACATAATGTTTGAAATTTACGAATACAACACTGTAATGTGAATATTAAAACGAAGTGTATGTGTTGACTACACGGTGACAAAGCTCAGAATGTCTTTCTATACACTCTACCTTCACCACGAAAACATCCACTCACTCACATAACTCTACATTGAACTGAACTCATCGTTCAGCCAATAGAAAGCATTTATGTTCTAAAGTCGCTACGCTCCACCGAACATAAATAGGCATTCTATTCTCTCATCACTACCCGTCATTCAACATAACATCAACTTTCAGTTTCAAGGAATGAGAGCACTTGGCACACAGAAAATCTAAAGAACGGGAAAGATATAGAACAATAAATTGATTATGTCAATTTGAATCCACAGATTCTAGATACCAACACTTTATAGATAAAAGTATCAGTCTTCGGCAGAAATACTTATTCAACAATCCTGTCTTTAAATGTCGGTCAGTATTTGAATTATTTTACACTGAACCAATGCTAAAATATAATGTCATCTCAATGTAAAGCAAAAAGCAGCAAACCCTAAGTTACACATTGCAATGTCTCCAAGAGGTATAAAGTTCAATGATCGCTTCGTGTTAGGAAGAATCATAACAAACAATGCTCTAACTGGCTCCATCTGCGATTGTTTGAATATCAGTTCAAATGTCCCATCGCTGATATATTTGACTGATGTTGAATCACAAATGTTATGAAGTCCATATGACGTATATCCATCCTATGTCAGATTTGACAACATATTTGTCACAAGGCAATTAATTGTACATTCTTTCAGTTGTGTTGATCAGCCCTTTAGCACAACGGTGCTTGCAACATCTGTGCCAAAATCCCTTAGTTCGGCATATAAACATCGCTTTACTTTAATTACTGCTCTACCAGCCTGGAAATATATCCATTAACAAATTTTAAATGTATAATTACAACAATATCTTTAACAATAAATCTATTCGTGAACGATTCACTGATTTTCCAACAGCTCATCTGCAATTCAGCAATATCTAAAGAAAATTGTTCAATATAAATGGACACCATCCAGATCAAAATACCTGAAAAGTAATTGTCCAATGAAATACATATAGAAATCATCAGGTTGTATATTGCCTATCATGACATGTTTACCTGTGAATTGTAATTCTTATGCAGTGGTACATTACACACGTCTAAACTATAAACTTGTGTCAGCATATACGAGCATCGTAATCTCACATATATAGAAATGTCGTTAGCAATTCTCATTTTGTGCACTATCATATATAACCTGGTGTATTCA